GTGACTCCTCTGGCCAAAGTAAAATCCTAGCACAATTTTGGCCAATCAGGTATAATGATTCCATTTTTAGTGTAACTCTATATTTTTTGTTATTTTTATAGTTTTGCAGGTCTGGCCTCACTAAATGGTGGTGGAGGAATATCACACAGTTTAAATGATAATCATAGAACTGGAAGGGACCCTATGGATCATCGAGTCCAGACCCTGTCATGGAGGCACAGTGGGGAATTGAACTTCCAGTCTCTGGCTCCAGATGTCTAAATCACTGAGCTAACCAGCAGTTCTTCAAGTGCTGGCCTGCGATCCTTTCTCATGCTCTGTTGCCAGTGTTGAGTTAATAACAAGGTGGCTGGGAGATGAGTTTATTTTGCACCACAAATACAAAACGGATAGTAAAAATCTGAGGTTTTAAAAGCAAATGAAATACTGTACATTTTCAAGTGACCGGATGGACATTTGTCCTGCCTTTTGTGCTGTGTTCCTCACTGATTCTTTTAATATTTATTCTGTCAACTACACGATGAGCACTAATCATGAATCAATCTGATTTTTTTACATGAGTACATGGCATATTTTGCTCACCTGTTTTGCTATTTTTCATAGTGTTCCCATTTGCATTACTTTGTCTTGCTTTTGGTTTGTGTGATCACCTGTCTCGGCCCCTTGGAGCAGTTGTTCAGCATCTCCAGGTGACATCACCGATGATAAACAGAGTGGGGTATCATGCAGGGGTGAATGCAACTTCTTTGCCTTGCTTCTACTCACATTGGTAAGGATTGGAATCACAATGCCATTAGTAAACTGTACAGTACTTCGTAAATACATTTTCCTCCTAGTTTAGTCGTATAGTGCTAAACAGAGACAGCACTGATTCAAATGCTTGGCATGTCTTGTTAAAACAGTGTGTTTTCTTCACTTGTCGAACATTAATGAAGAAGAAAGAATCTCAATGCCAATGAAAGAAGCAGGTAAGGGGGTGATAAGAATCAGCTTCAGCAAATCCTTTGACAAAGTGCCTCATGGGATTCTGATTAGCTAGCTAACTAGGTATGGGGTGGATAGAACAACTGTCAGGTGGATGAATATACAGTTGGTTACAGAATTGTACTCAAAGAGTGCTCCTCAAACTGGGAGGCGGTAACAAGTGGAGCAGCACAAAACTCAGTTCTGCGCCAACTGCTCTTCAACATATTTATTAATGACTTGGACGAGGGGATGCAGGGAATGCTAATCAAATTTTCAGTTGACACAAAATTTGGTGGAATAGCTAATACCTTGGAAGACAAAAACAATATTCAAAAATATCTTGAGTCCAAAAAGCTAAGTGCAAAGTTCTGCAGCAAGAGGGTGGCGGCAAATGCACAGTTATAAGATTACTTGGTTCAGTAATATTACAAGTGAGAAGTATCTTGGAACTGTTGTAGATATCAACCTGAATATAAGCCAACAGTGTGACGTTTCTGCAAAACAGGCTAATGCTATTTTACAGTGCATTAACAGATGTATACAGTAGTCTCCAAATTCCATGAAGTATTACTTCCTCTCTATTTGGCGTTGGTTAGGTTCTTCTTGAATATTGTGTCCAGTTCTGGACACCACATTTTAAAAAGGATCCAGGCAAACTGAAACAAGTTCAGAGGAGGGCAACAAGGATGATTAGGAGACTGAAAACCTTGCTCTGTGGGGGAAAACTGAACAAACTGGACATGTTTAGCCTTAAAAAAAGAAGTCTGAGGAGAGATATGATAGCACCTTTCAAATACTTGAAAGGTTCTCAAACAGAGGAGGGGCAGGATCTGTTCTTGATTATCACAGAGTGCAAGACACATAATAATGGGCTCAAGTTACAGGAAGAGAGATTTCAGCGGCATATCAGGAAAACTTCCTACATGTTAGAGCAGTATGACAATGAAACCGATTAGCTCGGCAGCTGGCGAGCTCTCCAACACTGGAGACATTCAAGAGAAAATTGAACAATCATCTGTCAGATCTGCTTTAATTTGGATTCCTGCAGCACTGAGCAGGGGACTGGACTCAATTGCCTTACAGACCCTTCCAACTCAATTATTCTATGATTCTATAATGGCAGAGAAGAGTGAGAGGGGAAGGAAGCCTGTGTGACATGTGGACCCTAAAAACACATTCCTGGAACAATCAATCACTTCTCTTTCTCTCTCTCTCTCTCTCTCTCTCTCTGTGTGTGTGTGTGTGTGTGTGTGTGTGTGTATGTACGTGCACATGCATACGCATATGTGTGTGCATGATCCAGAATGATCCTAATTAGCCCATTTGGTAGTCCATGTGGATAGTCAGTCTGCACCAAAATAGACCTTTGGGCTGTGTTATCTAAGGTGACAGCCCTGTGACACACTTGGTGTGCTGTGGCATTGAAAGGGATGATGGATGCTTTCATCTACTCTACCATTTAAAATTTTTAAAAATATATTTCCCTATTGATAAAATGCCATTTTAGATAAATGAGATACATTGGCGGTACTACAATATGTGTAATACGCTAGGTAGATGAATTGCTATTTCTCTGTCTCCTACTTTATTATTTTTTTTTAAAGGAAAGACACTGCAGCTTCCTGAATGACAGCAATGGAAAAAGACTGGGAAGGAGGCAGGAAGGGGAATGTCATAAATTGAAAGGGTGATACATGGGCGCACTCCAAAGAGCTGTCTGGACCCGTTTCACAGGAGAAAAATGTCAATCACTGTGAATGGAAGAACTGCTCGAGTCAGTGATAAACTAGATCATACTAAAGATAAGAACCTTTTAAGCTTAAACCAGACCACTCCAACTTTCCTGATATGGATGTGCTGTAACTCTGCTGAAATAGGGAGAGAAATATGAAATGGGCGCACACTAACTCTGCTCTAATTATCTGGGCGTGCAATGTATGCTTTCTGTTTCCAAAAGTTTATGACAAACAAGGTCTGGAAAATGAAATATAATCACAGCAATCATAAGAAAACAAAAGAAAACAAACAAAACTGGGTAGGATAGAAAACATATTGCCCTTGTAACACACAGTGGATACAGGATAGAGGCCAATATTATGGCCGAATATCCAGCAAAAGCAGAGCTGGGACTTTCTTCCCCCTCCCTCTCCTGCTCATGCTCTGTTGGTGCCAAAAGACCTGCTCCAGAAATTTTTTAGGTTCCAGGATAGAGGCATAAGGTGCACAAGGGACAGGGATTCACGAAGGTGTACTGTATCACCAATTCTGGAGCAAGCAGTAGGATCCATCAGAAGTACTGTATACTATTAGATTTTGACTTGAATTATTATCCTATAGATGACAAGTACTCCGTTGTATGCAACTTCCACAACTTCATATTAACTCTCAGAATGCAACCCAGAACATTTCAACTTTGAAGTCCTAATTAGTTTGATGGAAGTTATTCCTAGGTAATGAAGTATAGGATTGCAGCTGTAGCCTAAATCTCTGGAAACATGACTAATTATGAAATACTGGCTGAAATCCAGTTGTGCACTTATGCAGACAGCATAACTTGTAGATGCAAATTGTTGTAAATTAAGAAATCTCCATAGGAATTATCTGTTACACACCAGGTCACCCAGTTCAGAATGCAACCGATAGCGTCTATGGAGATTTCTTAATTAACAGCAATTCACGTTTAAAAGTTACAGCAACTGTGTAACTGCAGAATAGGATTTCAGCCATTGAGCATTGCATATTCAGTTTTTAAAATGTGTCATTTCAATCAAGTGGTTTTGTAGCTAGATTCTGTTAATTAAATTTAGTTCCCAGTGAAATTAATGTGACTTGAGTCATGAGGACTAATGTATCCCATCGATTTCAACAGAAACCAAGTTCAACTGATGTGCAGTGTAATACTTGGTATGTTTACTCAGGAGCATGTCCCTTTTCATTCACTCAGAAGACACTCAAGCAATAGTATTGAGTTACCCTAGGTAAATATAGGACGACACTCAGTCTAGAGCTGATCACATAACTTTAAATATTGACTGCCTAGGTTAGTTTAACGCACTGCTTCTTATGAGTAAGAAAAACAACCAAGCTCCAGCTATACCCATAGTAATCCTAAATATCACTATTACCTTTTCATTTTGTCCACTGTATAAACTGCTTTTGTGTGTTGAATATCATCACAAAATTAATGTTTCATGGCATTTAATCATTTTAATACTAAAAATCACAGAGGACTTGCTTATTGTTTAACATATCATATCCCTGCTTGAATAGATCTTGAGATATGTTTTAACACCAAAAAAAACCCCTTATGAACATATTGTTTCTGCAACACCAAGTATTTCTAATACTCTTGTCAACGTGAGCTAACATACTACAGTGGACCCTTGACTTACAGATGGCTTGACTTACAGACTTTTTGAGTTACAGACTTCTCTGGCCGCAAAATTTAGGTTTGACTTGCAGCCTGAGATTTGACTTACAGACCAGAAAAAAACCAAAATGGAACAAAAACGGCCTGTTATGGGATTAATCGGTTTTCAATGCACTGTAGGTCAATGGAGACTTGACTTACAGATTTTTTGACTTGAGAACCCCCTTCCAATATGGATTAAGTTCTCAAGTCAAGACCCCACTGTAGTGGGGCCTCATGCCATTATAGGTTAATCAAGAGATTAATTCGGGGGAAATATGCTCCCTTTCTCATTTGTGAGGAACTAAGAAGAGTCAGGTGACTCTATTTTTGGGACCAACTCAAGACTAATTTTTTCAGAATAATACTATAATATTCTCTTTCCCCCTCAATTTACATACACTAAAGAGAGGCAGAAATGAACAGCTGAAAATGAAAACATTCAATGATGTGATGGGATTGATGGTAACTCTGATACATTCATGCCTCTAATTTTCACCTCAAACATCAAGGTAATGATTGTTCAGTAGCTGCTGAGCTTGATGGAACTGTACTGTAAACCGGTAGAACAAGTTCAGTTTCAGTGTTGGCACAGAAGAATATAAAAACAACAGGTTAAACAGGGTGTTGTAACACTTAATTAATATCTATAATTTATTTTAAGTTCACCAGCAGAAATGACAGCATCTGAGATGTTTCTAAATACCTCACTGTTTCTAGAACTGCATAACCATGCATAAAGCAAAATGTTGTTAGGGAGCGGCGGATGCATGTTTTCAAAAACCTCAAAATTTTTCTGGGTTGTAGAATCTCTTCATCATCTGTTTCACACTGTTTGGCACAGAAGTAATCATCATAATCTGATTTGTGTTCTATTGATTGGAGAACCATCTTGGATCAGAATGTGTGATGTTATAGCATAATATCATTGTGTGTTGTTGTTGTTTTTAAATGGATGGCTGTAAATAGTTCCAGTGAAGAAGGACATTTCACCAACTCCTCTTGGCACGTTCTGGAATCAGATGTAACAAACTGCTGAAATAAAAGTCAACAAGCTACCGGCAAGTTTGCTCATCTAAGATTATACACTGCAATTCTCGTGTGTGCAACTTGCATCCCTAAATCTTATAACTGCTGAAATAAAAGTCAACAAGCTACCAGCAAGTTTGCTCTTCTAAGATTATACACTGCAATCGAGTGGGCAACTTGCATCCCTAAATCTTATCTCATGCAGTCCTTTCCAAAAGCATCCAACAAGCAATCCCTTTGGAGTTCTAGGAGAACCTCTCTCTTTCCCAGCAGACTGTAAAATAAGAAAGAGAAGGAAGAAAGGAAATGAGTGAAAAGATAAGAAGGGAGTCACCTATTGGGGCAGAGGAGGAGGAATCTGGGAGAGTAAAGAGAATGGCAGAAAGAGAGAAGAAGAGGGGACCAAAATTTTCATTGGTCTGGCTCAACCCAATGATGGTTTTAACAATTTTGGCATGTGATCGCCAGCTGATTAATTCTAATGTGGTGTGACCATAAAGTTCGGTAGAGCTGTCTTTCTTAGATGAAAGAAAGAAAGAAAGAAAGAAAGAAAGAAAGAAAGAAAGAAAGAAAGAAAGAAAGAAAGAAAGAAAGAAAGAAAGAAAGAAAGAAAGAAAGAAAGAAAGGGAAAAGTATACAGCAAAGCTGTTTTAAATGCATAACTGAGCAATCCCCATCCTGAGAGGTAAGCATAGTAGCTTGAGGTGTAGGGCAACAGTAAACAGAAGTTCCATGAGCCATCTACTTAAGCAGCACCAGTTAAACACTGCATTTAAGAAGTGCAGGCAGCTTTTTAAAACCATTATTTTAAAAAGTATACAGATTCTTATCAGCTGCACTGATTTTTCACTCAGCAAGTTATTTTCACATTATTGCCACACTTTAATGTGTCTCCTGGTTATTCCATAGGTGTCAAATTGCAACTCTGCCTGCCACATCAAACCATAGTAAAGAGTTATAACCACTGTTATGATGGTGTTGAATCTATTATTGTTATCCCTGGTGTTGTTAGTAGCAGCAATACTATTTAATTGTCATTTTTGCTTTAACTCCTAACCGAATATGCTAGTGATTGTTAACTCTGAGCTTTTCAGAAAACCACATGCATTAACAGATGCTGATGTCTATATAAGCAGCTGAAGGTGGCAAATGCCACATTGCAAAATAAAATGTGTTAGTCTTCCATGTGTGATAAGACACAAGGTGCACAATTATAAGCCACGTATAATTATTTTAGTTCTTCTAGTCAAATCTGAGTCAAATGAAATGCAGTACAATGCTGCACTATAGTCTTAAGCATCACATGCCTGTTGCTTTAAACTCTTTGCATAGCAATTGCATATTGACACAACATGATTTTGGTCAACATTTCTGATCTACAGACTAAGGTGTGCAGGAATACATTTAACTACCACCATCCCTACTTTTCTAACTTTCATTTATTCCTGAAATTTTTCACAATACATGTCATTATTCTGTTCTTCATGCTGAAAAGGTTATCAGAATTCTACAAATACTTAGGAACTACCGGTATATATTCCTTCCTCAGATAGTAAAATGGATGCCTAAGACAGAAGGAGGAGGTATGAACTTGCTCAAAGAACTACACAGTTTGTATAAATGCCAAAAAACCTAAAACGACATCCCTACGTCCTCTTCTAAACTACGGGATTGGGTTTCTCAGTAGATATATCTTTAAAACCCAATTAAAAACATGGTTATAAATCCAGGCCTTCCCTCCAGTCAATACCTGATTTCTTTCCATTTTCCTTTATTTTTCTTCTTCTACTTTATTACAATTGTTATTGAACGACTATGCACATTCTTGATTTTATTGTTTTATCCTATATTGTAAGCCGCCTAGTAGTCCAGATAGGCGGGGTATAAATCAAATAAATAAATAAGATGCTGTAGTCCAGAGAGGCGGGTGATAAATCAAATATATATATAGAGAGAGGATGCTGACTATTTAGTAGAAAATGAACAGTAATGAATGGAAAGGGATTTAATGTTTGTCTGAAATCCAGAATTCAAATATTCTATGATTCAGCACTGTGTTGTAGATCTCACTTTTGGCATCTATTTCCTATTTTTTAATCTGCCCTTGGACTCACATTTCAGACCAATGAAGTTTGCCACTGAAAGGCATTTAAAACACCTAAAACGTGCTTTTAAAAACCAGTTTCGATAAAAGACAACAAACCTCCCTCTTTCTCCAAACCCCTTGCAAAATAATATTTTACTAATACTTTTGAGAGTTTTGCAGTCTTACATCTGAACATCAGTGGTAAATGATCAATAGCTGAGAACTCTTCAGGTTCTGATACAGTGAGGGCAATACTGCCATCTCTGCATTTCTTCTTTATAGAAAGAAAGTCAATGCACCAAGTCAACGCATCACTTGCTAATCAATAGCAACCTCAGGAGATTTCCACACATCCACTGATTCCCTTGGTAGGCAAAAGTAGAGGAATTTGCAAAGAAAAAGAAAAAGAAATCCAAACAACAAAACAAATCCAAGAAAATGTCCTGTGAGCTTGCAGGCTTGGTGGAATATTATGAGCAGCAATATATTATGAGCTCCTATCCAAGATTGTGGAAATGGTAATCTCATTTAGATTTTCATTCCAAGAATTCCCCAGCTGTGATGGCCATGGCTCTTGAATTTTTGTCCTGTCATTGCTGTTACCTTTCATCTGCGAGTGCAGATACTGTTGCCCAGTTATGGCTACACTAACAATCTTGAATTGCTCTATTATTTTGCACTCTCACTTCCAGGCAGGACAGTGCTGGAATCATCTAAAGAAGCTTGAACCAAGGGAAGTCCACTTATTTGGTTCTCCCAGGCAAGGGCAAAAAAAAAGTGCAGAATGGTCTTCTATGCCTGGCAAGGAGGTGAGGTATCTCGTGGCACTCCCAACAAAAGAAAGAATGAGAATGATGTTTTGTGCAAAGTGAGTGGAACTGCACAAATTGACATTCTAAACAAGTGGTTCCCAACCTTGGATAACCCAGGTGTTCTTGGATTTCAACTCCCAGAAACCCTAGCAAGCACAGATGGTGGTGAAGGCTTTGGTAACTTGCAGTCTAAGAACCAACTGGGTCACCCAAGGTTGAGAACCACTGCTTTGACGCAATTAATGCATCTTGCGCAAAATGTCAATGATTGCTGCTTTATCCATAGATTCTGAAGGAGCAGGGGCACTTGAGGAGGTATTTGTGTTTGTTTTAAGAACCCACTCATGTTCTGTGCTTGCTGTATTTGTGTACAAGGAATTTGTTTCTCAAAGGGAAAGAATGTGCAGTTTGCACAGGTTATAGCTGCCTAGAGTGGTCCATTGGTCCAGATAGGCGGGGTACAAATCAAATAAATAAATATAGAAAGTTCAATGAGAGAAAAAACCCAGCAACCCCCATTTACTCTCATCTGGAATCTCATAAGGCTTGAAAATTCCTCATTGAATGTCTTTTCAAGTTAAGACAGCCTTAATTAATGAGAACAAAGAATTTAAAGTACTGTTTATATCCCTATCAGAAACACAGGAAGGTATGAATCTGTCAATTTGATCTATAGTTGAGAGCCATGTATTTTAAAGCCCTGCCCTCAAAGCAGATCGATCTAATCATTCAAGGTAAGATAAGATGGAAGAATTATGCAAAAGAGCTGCATTTAGTTCTGCCCCCCATATTGCACAACTCGTCCCCACCCATCACATATTGAGTGAGGACGTTGGCAGAGAGACTTTTTTGGTCATTTGGGCCCTCCCTGTGCTGTGGAGCCTGATATGAGAACAACATCCTTAAAGGCAAGTCCCTCTTTTGATCTGTATGGTGTTGATACTTATTTAATTGTTCACCATATCACATCTTTCTTCCAAACTGGGACCCAAGGCAGTTCACAGGAAGATTAAAACAAATGCAGATTAAAAATAAGTACAAATGAAAACATGCAAAACCGTATCATGATAAGTACAAATGAAAACATGCAAAACCATATCATGATAATTAAAAATGCAGTTGAACTAATTACAATATTAGAGTGCTGCTGAATTAGAACAAATGTAAATCACACTCACAGCATAGGTCTGCTAAAAACTCTTCCCTTAAACAGCTGGTATCTTGCTGAAAGTCTTCCTAATAAAAAGGTGTTTCCCTGGCAGCAGAAAGAGGACACAGTCTGACCTCCCTTGGAAGGGGTTTTGAGTAGCCTTAGAGCAGTGTCCAAGAAGGCCCTCTCTGGCTTCTCCAGGAAATGAACTTGTGACAGTGGCAACATTGAGAGAAAGTCCCCCATCCAACACGTTGTACCCCAGGCAGACCCATGTGGGACAATATGGTCCTCTCGGCTGCCTGGACATTTGTTGTGTAGGGCTTTATAGGTCCAAACCAAGACATTGAAATTGTTCCCAGAAATAGCCAGTGGGCCTGGTGAAACTAAGAAGTTATGTGGTCAGTGTAACTGGGCCCATCAACACTTCGGGACAGCTGAAATTTCTCATTCTCAATGTTTCTCGAAAGCAGTCCCATATAGTACAGTAATCTGTCCATTGTTATAGAGATCTGGCAGAATAGGGTTTTCTTAGAAGCTCTTTCCACTCTTCTTGTTTTCCCTCACCCCTGCTCCTTGTTCTGTAGAGAAAAGTTTATCAGTTACTGAGATGATCAGGTACATTTTAGAAGGGGGAAACATCCAATATTATTTCTCTATCAGTTCAGAGAGAATGTCACAGCACACGTGTATACCACACCTCGCCAAGGACATTCTGCTGTGTTTAATGAGATCTACTGCTAAGATAAATGTCTGTACAGGATTACAGGTAATGTGCACATAGATTACAGTTTGCTCCCTGACGAAAACCTACTTGAAGTGCCTAAATGTACAGTGGTGCCTCGCTTAGAGATCACTCCGTTCAGCGATGAAATCGCTTAGTGATGGGGTTTTGGCCATCGCCAGAGCGATCGCTTAGCGATGCCCCCTATGGGGAAAATCGCTTTGCGATGCTCGCAGGGAAGCGATTGTTGCAAAGCCCCCATTTTCAGCCAGCTGATTGGCGGTTCCAAAATGGCCGCCCGCTGTTTTGCCTCGCTTTAGAGGCACCGAAAATGGCTGCCCCTATGGAGGATCTTCGCATAAGGTCAGTTTTGAAGCCCATAGGAACGCATTAAACACGTTTTAATGCATTTCTATGGGCTTTTTTATTCCATTTAGCGATGAAATCCGCTTAGCAACGTTTTTCCTGGAACGGATTAACGTCGCTAAGCGAGGCACCTCTGTACCTGGTTCACAAGTAATGTTGTTCTGTATATCACAGTTACAACTAGTTACGAGCACTACCCACAATTATTCAGAGGGTCACGATTTCCTTTAGTGATAAAACATCCTCCACCACCCTGCCAAGGAGCTTGCTATTGACCACTGTTGACACATTTATTTGGGGGGGTAGTACCTCCGTCATGTTCTGAAACAGAAGGGCATTCGAGTCATGGGTATCAATGTTCCTGCAACACTTCTGGAAGCATCCCACCAGGACAAGATTCTGGATAAACCACTTGGACATCACTTAAAGAGACTTCAAAGTGAATAGGGAGATCAAAGAATAATCAGGTAAACTGGGGCTACTTGGATACAGGACATATTTTCAGTGACTGTAGAAATTCAATCAATGCAGCATTTATGTGCATTCAATTTATGCTCCACCACATATACATCATGCGTGATTTATATATCATGCAAAAGGCTAGACTGGATGCATCCCAAGCTGGAATTAAGATTGCCGGAAGAAATATCAGCAACCTCAGATATGCAGATGATACCACTCTGATGGCAGAAAGTGAGGAGGAATTAAAGAACCTCTTAATGAGGGTGAAAGAGGAGAGTGCAAAAAATGGTCTGAAGCTCAACATGAAAAAAACTAAGATTATGGCCACTGGTCCCATCATCTCCTGGCAAATAGAAGGGGAAGATATGGAGGCAGTGATAAATTTTATTGTCTTGGGCTCCATGATCACTGCAGATGGTGACAGCAGCCATGAAATTTAAAGATTCCTGCTTCTTGGAAGGAAACTGAAGACAAACCTAGACAGCATCTTAAAAAGTAGAGACATCACCTTACCAACAAAGGTCCGCATAGTCAAAGCTATGGTTTTTCCTGTAGTGATGTATGGAAGTGAGAGCTGGACCATAAAGAAGGCTGACCGCCGAAGAATTGATGCTTTTGAATTGTGGTGCTGGAGGAGGCTCTTGAGAGTTCCCTGGACTGCAAGGAGAACAAACCTAGCCATTCTAAAGGAAATCAACCCTGAGTGCTCACTGGAAGGACAGATCCTGAAGCTGAGGGTCCAATACTTTGGTCAGCTCATGAGAAGAGAAGACTCCCTGGAAAAGACTCTGATGTTGGGAAAGTCTGAAGACAAGAAGAGAAGGGGACGAGATGGTTGGACAGTGTCACTGAAGCTACCAATATCACAGCCATGAATACTCCACTCCCAAGCAAACTACACCAGAGCACAGAGTGCTGTCCTCTGAAGATGCCGGCCCCACAGACTGGCGAAACGTTAGGAAGAACAACCTTCAGAACACGGCCAAAGAGCCCGAAAAACCCACAACAACCATTAGATCCCGGCCGTGAAAGCCTTCGCGAATACTACCAATATGAATTTGACCAAACTCCAGGACGGAGTGGTCTGGTCCAAGGGGTCACAAAGTCGGACACGACTTAACGACTAAACAACAACAACATCTACCAAACATCTACAAAACAAAATCTACCAAGTGACTGAGATAACACTATTGAAGCAATCTACTTCTGGTCAAAAATAGTTTAATTATTTTACAATTTTAATTCGTTTTGACTTTACCTACCGTGTTTTCCCAAAAATAAGACCTAACCTGAAAATAAGCCCTAGTATGATTTTTCAGGATGCTCGTAATATACGCCCTATTTAAATGAAACCCTGCCCTCCATCATTATGCAGCAACCAGAAGATGATGACATGACTGTATTTGAATAAATGTCGATTGTTTTGCATAAAAAAATTTCCTGAAAATGAACCCTAATGTGTTTTTTTGGAACAAAAATTAATATAAGACCCTCTCTTATTTTCGGGGAAACACAGTATATTTCATGTACTGTACATCCATAATTTTAAGTTGTGCAGAGCTCTAATATGAATAAAAAAGATTAACATTTAAAGCTTCAAAAATTTAATGTTGAGCAGGAAAGTCTCGGAATTGAGTCAGAGATTCTCCTTTTGCAAGCATTTTGTAGTTAGAAGAATGAAGGAAATATGCCCATGATTTTAAAACAAAACAAGCCATATATGACAAAAATCTTATGGGCCAACATTCCACCTATCTGACTATGTACAAAGTCTATGGGTGGGCAGGTTTTAATTTTTGTACGGAGTCAGAACTGTATGATAAAACTTCAACTAGTATTTGCTTCACACATCAAAAATTATGAAGGGGGGGCAAGAGCTCCTCTGACACAAACAACAAAAAAAGCCCTTTCTTTTAAAACTCCGATTTAAAAAATTAAAATATGAGGGTATGCTCACCATTTATCCCTCTTAAATGATTTAGTCATTTGATGCGGGAGTGAACGCCTCCATTGTCCATCATTTACTAATTTAATTTACTTATTTAAGAAGCGACAACTGGGATGTTGGGAAAGGCACTTATATGACATGAGGAAATAAGAGAGCAATACAGTATAGCCCTATGCCTATCTGTTAAGCCGTATGAAATCAAGCGGACTTCCAAGTAAAGTGGGCAGAGGATCTCAGCTGAAGCCTTAAAATGACGGTTCTTGTTTTCGACCCCCATCAAACCATCCCAGCAACGTTTACTGGGAAGGCAATCCTACCAACTTGAATAGGGTTGCGCCGCTTAATGATGCCAAAGGAAGGGTCGCCTGCTCTGCGCACTAACTGCAATTAAGCGCGTGCCAAAGGATTGCATCCCTAGGGATAGCTAACCAAAGGGTAAACGCCAGTGAATTCAATGGCCTTTGCATGGGGAGGGGGGCGCAAGAGCCACACTGGGGGCCGGGCCGAGCAAGCCCGAGTCTCAATCCCCGCCGAGGCTTCGCTGCTCCTCCTCGCCTGCAAAAGTGCCAAAACTTGGGACACGATGACGTCCCAACCCCGCCCAGCAAGGGGGGGGGGAGATGGCCTTTACAGAGGAGAGGCGGGAGCAGCGCCGTCTAATCCCTCTGGGTGGATCCTTCTCCTTCCCCGCCCCCTCCCTCGGCCCCGCCTCCTCCTCTGATTCCGAATGGTTAGACCGAGCTGCCCATCAAATTGAGGCACGGCTCGAACGCGCGCTCTCGAGCTCGCTTTCTCCCTGCGGCACGCACGCACGCACACACACACACACGCCCACGAAGTAGCAGCTGTCAAGAGTTGGTGGTGGAACGGAAGGGAAAAGCCAAGCGCGCACGCGCATGCGGGGAGTTAGTAGCGGGGGGGGGGAGGGAAGGAGTTTAAAAAAAAAAGAGAGAGAGAGCGCGAGCGAGCGAGGTGGAGAGGAAACAAAAACAATCGCCCGGGCGCCGCCATCTTGGGTCTGGTTCTCCACACCACGCAAGTGAATGGGTAGCTATGAAATTACCACAGGGGCGCAGCAAGGTAGGGAGGGCCATTCAGCGCTGCCAGCCGGGCCTGGGGGACGATAAAACCGGTTCTTCCCCCTTCCTCCCGTTCTTCTTTTTCTTCCGACGCCGCCCTGAGGGAAAATCTCGGCTCGGGGCTTCCTTCTCCTCCTCCTCCTCCTCCTCCTCAACAGCACCTCAACTTCATTACCGGGGACACAAACTTGGGCTCAGCCGCCTTTTCGCCGCCGCCGCAGCCGCCGCCAGCCAGCGGACCGGAGGCTTGGACCGTGGAGCAGCCGGTTCTTCGCCGCCGCGGAGGAAAAGCTAGGAGGAGGAAGGGGTGGAAGGAAAAGAGGCTTCTCGTCCGCCTGCTTGCCTGGCCTGCTTGCTCGGCCGGCCGGCCGTCTTTCTCCGGGCGCCGGGCTCGCCCGCTCGGCGTTGTGTGGGAGGCACAAGGGAAGAGAGGAAAAGGCGAGTAAGGCTTGACCAGGCTCCGTCGTGCCCCCGCCCGCCTTCCCGCCGGCCCCACTCACTCTTCGTTGTGGGTGTGAAGGGAAGAACGAAGAGGGAGGAGGAGGAGGAGAAAGAGGAGCTGAAGAAGCAGGAGGGAGAGGGAAGCAAAACAAAGCCAAGTTGGATCGCGTGTAGAGGGAGTTCCTGCTCGTACGGCGACCGGAGGGGACGGTGTGGGAAAATGGTGAGCCCATGAAGAGTTGGAAGGGAGGGGTTGAAGAAAAGAGAGCAGCTACACATGAACTGAATACGTCAAGGAAGGGGAAGGAGAGAGAAAAAAGATCTTTACTTACCTATCCGCCAGCCTGGCCACCCGAGAAGACCCGATTTTTCCCGTCTCCGAGCACCATGGTTGCAAAGCATCGCTTCACCTCCTTCTCCACCCATTTTTGAGAGCTCTCGTGCTACCGCTTCAGGAAAGATTTCTCACGAGCCTCTTGAGCCCTTTTTAAAAAAAATATTTTTAAAGCAGTGGTTGGGGGACGAGGAATTTCCTTCCTCATTATAGCAGTTGGAAACACTCGTCCCCTTGCGTACGGCTTCAAACACCATTTGAAATGTAGGCTCGGAGGTTACAACGGGTTGGGCAAATAGTTTGACATTTTTCTTAAAGGAAAAAAATGAGCATTGAATGTGTACACGCTACTGTTTCGAGCGGATAGAAGATCCTGGGGCGGGGGGGAGGGAGAGAGATTGAGTAGACAATTGGAAATACGCATCGTTCATTGACTAGATAAAGAAGGACCAGAGAGTACTAATACTTGGGATGAACGACTAAGCTCTTGTTTTTGTCCCCTCTCCGCGTTGGTTGTGCTCAGCATTTATTAATAGGAAACAACAGTGTTTCACAAATTCCCTTCAATATTTTTTTTTAAAAGTAACTGATTAGTTTACTATTGCTGGTTCCATTGAAGGCGTGTTTGTGTTGACATTTGAACCCAGACACTCTACATGCTGTAAAAGACCGTGAAGACAAAAAGTATTGTTTACTAGTATCTATGCCTCGTGCCTGTTTCCAACACCATGGTGGATGTCTTTCCGATTTGAAAGTGAAGGAAACACTGTATTGTACTCCAAGGCAGTTACTTTCTTAATATTCACTTGCTTTACTGCTAATCTTTAAACTGGGGACTTAATATGTTTTTATGAATTGAATATCGCCACGGTAGAGAAGCCAAATGATGTGTGTGTTCCAAAATGCATACATTACTTTGCTGGAGTATCTGCTGAGAAAGAACTGGATAGACTGACAGTATAGAAATCTTATGGGACGTGTTTCTTTCCAAGATAACTTTAATAAAGACGAAGAAGGGTTTTCATTTTTTGAAGAGGCAGGAACCTGGATGTATAGAATTGCTTCATATTGATTCTAAGTATTTGGAAAATGGGAGCTGCTACAAAATTGGTGTTTGCTGTTTTTCTTATCTCTTGTTCTTCAGGTAAGTACTTTTCTATGTTTAGTCCTTCTCTGTTCTAATATATTTGATTGTGTTGTAATATTTACTTGATTAATGTACGTTCAAGTTTTTGCACATAAGAGTCCTTTTTGCCAGTAACAGTGAAAATGAATGTTTTATTTTCTTAAGAATGCCACATTAGGGCTTCCAGAACTGGTGTCTTGTAGAAATCTTCCTCACTACCGGCATGGAAGCTAATAATTAGGGACACTGTGAAGGAATGACATAGAGTACTTTATTGTAGATCAGGAATGTGTTGAATGGTCTTTGATGATAGAAATCCAAAATGCAGTTCAGACAGTTTCAGTTTAAGGTTTTAAAAACATTATTTAGTACTGATGTGATCAGGAATATAAATATTTGTAAATGGTAGATCAGGGTTTTGTGACAATCCTTTCATTTTATGTTGGTTAGGTTCTGGTCACAGAGAAGATGCTGTTATGGGTAGCAACCAGTGGTTGAAAAAAGTACTTGCTGTGTACTGTGATTATTTAGTGAAGAGCGACTATTTTTGTTCTTTCTTTTAGTTAAAAATGTGTTTATGTTACTTTTAAGCTACATATATACTATGTCAGTTGGGAGGTAAAATGGTTATACTGTATAGTTGATTTTATAGCTCTGTCTGATTATTATCTTTAATTTTATTTTCATAATCTGATAGATCCTATTCTCTTGCAGTTGCCTAATGTCTGTAGAATCTTGCTGAATGGTACAGTTTCTTGTGGTTATTAAATGGATACAGTCTAGTCTTGTGTCTGTAATGTTATTGATCTGTTCCGTGTGGGCTGAATGTGCTATGAAATGGCGATCACTATAAGACACTGTGAAGTAATTTTTTTGCAGCTAAACTAATAATTTCTTGAAATAACAGTTCAATCAAATGAAAAGTTACAAGAGAATTTGTGTGCGATACATCACTGGGAGGCAAACCTGATTGTAATTAATTCACTCTATAGAAAGTAACTTATATTGCTCAGCTTTTACCTGAATTTCCCCCCATAATGTAAGAATTGGGTGGAATTTATTTCTTCATTACTATTCAGTTGTAACCAAGTTCATCTTTTAGAACCTGCTTTATCATTGATTTAACAGCATTCAAGTGACTAGGTGGGAAGTCTAATACATGCTTAATTAATCTCAAACTTCCAATCTGATTTTAAATATGTTGACTTGTAAGTATGTTCCACTGATGTTCTAGTGGAACTTGTTTCTTGTTTATATATACCTAATGATGCTTTTATTTTAGTCTTAAACTTTTCCCTGTTCTGAATAAAAGTGGCCATATGTATGTGGAGTTCACCTAGCTCATGTGTTTTCCAATAATACATAGAAGGTATCCTGTAGAAAGCTTATCATAAGGCACTATGGAAAGCTGTGTGGTAAAGGGTAATAAACTATTTAAAAGTTCACTGCATCCAGTTTACTTCAAGTACTCATAGAGGTGGAAGCTACAGTATTTGAAACTGAATGTGATAAAAATGTAGTGCTAATTGGTACAAACATCTCATACACTTTTAAAAGATTTGTGGCTCAGTAGAGTACATATTCTGTTAGTTCTACCCTTGTTATTAAGTTAGGCATGAGCAAACATAATGTTTCTGAACTAGAGATGCATAGTAAATAGATGGTTTTTTAAGGTAGTAATCCGTTGTCTGCCCCAGATCTTTCTCTTTTGCTAGGTTTATTAGTCAGTGGATATCAAAACATGTAGTCCTTTACTTCTAAATTGTTAATAACTCCTGTTGAACAAATGGACGTTCCAATAGAGGGTTTAATATAAAATGCCTTTCAGATGTCATCTTGTATTTCTGTGTAATGTCCAGATGTGTGTTTTGTTTTGACTTTGCCCATTTCTTTTTTGGGTTATAGTGTTTTGCTGAAGAAATAGTTGTTGCAGAAGAAGTATCATTCTTTTTTTCATGAACATATGGGAGAGGAAGTTTATTCTCACCTGCAGTGTTCAGCCAACAATAAACATATAAGTTTAAACATAGTTTGAATGTACTTTTTGGATAACAGTGCCAGAAGTCCCTTCGCCAGAGTGGCTGATGATCATGCTGCCTTGGGGATTGTGGGAATTACAGTCTAAAAAATAACTTTTCCTTGCTTTTTTTGAGTACAGTACTTATAAATCTTGTACAGGGAATCAGTGCCATAGAATATAATGCAATTTCTCTTTTAATACCTGTAACTGTCAAAATTCAGTATGGTGATTTTCTTAAAAAATAATTACTTGGTGTTCATAACAAGTGGTTTTCTTACAGTAGTTTAATGAGAAGTTTGAACAACAACTTTGATATATTTTATAGAATGCATACACTGGAAGAGGAGTGAAGTGATATAGGAAGCTAAGAGACTCATGGGCTGAAATAGTAAAATGCAACTAGAGTTAGACCCATTGAAGTAATTGGGATTTGGTGAGTCATCATCTCTGTAAATTCCATTGATTTAATGGGCTTACTCTAGTTGTAATTTAGTCCTGGTTTTTTTACAGGGGTCAACCTTAAGTGTTTTGGGGAGAATGTAAATAGAAAATATAGTAGCATCTTCATGAATAGGACTCTTAGTAATTGAATATGATTGTCTCACAGTTGAAACAAGATGAAGAGTTAGATGCTCAGAAGCTTTTCAAATATTTATTCTTTCTTAGAATAAACTTTTCTCTTGTGTTCCTTAATGTAGAGTGTTTTATGAAACACTTCAGTAGATGGCCAGCTTGGTAGGAGTCAAAACCACTGTAAATGGTTTTCTTCCCATTAGTTAGAGAGTGTTGCTTCTAACAATTTACTTTCTGTTGGTTATCTTTAAAAATGTAATCTTATATGTTTTGTAGAATAGCATGTTTAAATTTAAGCAAAGGTAATGAAATGTTCCTGAATATCTGTTGTGTGGATGGAGAAATTCTGTTAATTTCACAGAAAACCATATTCTTTTTGCCTACTGTATCATGTAGTTCTCACATGTTAAATAATTTGATTTTACTATAGAAAAGGTGTTTGATTGTTAAGTCATGTAGGCTTTAGAGTTGAAGAAAATAAGGTGGTTGGGGTGCTTTATTGGAATGTGCAAAATGGGGTGATACTATTGGGAATATCTTGATGGTATTTAAGAGTTCAGTCACTAGCTGTAGAGCAGACTAGATTAGATGGCTGTAATTGTCATGAAGTTGTATTTGAGAGATTATTCAGGTAGCTGGTAATTACTAGTTCAGTCATCATAATGATTTATAGTTGAAAGGCCCAAGCATATTTTATGTAAAAACTGGGTTTTTACATTCACTAGGAAAGAGTACTAGTGCAGCTTTCATTGTACTTAACCCAATTGTCATTTTATTATTTCTTAAACATGGGTTAACCAAAAGATTTGTGATAATATTTGATAGTTCTCAAACACACTCAAGCACTTGTTATCCAGTGCAGTTTTTGTAAAAGCTGTTATTTAGAAATGATTGCCTTTTTATAAGGATCAAAGCATGCTGATTTGATAGACTACTCAACTTTGACTGTCACTAAATTATCAAAACATGAATATGTACAAGTAATGTGGTTTAAGGTCTTCTGTGTTTGCCAATAAACACATTGTGAAGTTTGGTCAGGGGGAAGGTTCATATGAGGTTAAGGACCACCATAATATGAAATATGTCTTAACAGATTCACATTTTATTTTTCAAAAACTTGGTAACTAAAACTGTTGTCTGTGCTTATTATGCTGTCTTAAATTATTTTAGTTCAAAAAGTAACCATGGTTTTACTAATTAAGATATTTTGTTTAGGACTGCCTGTCTGCCTGTCCTTCAATCTATCTGTTTTAAGAAAATTCTGATCTGAAAGATATATTCCTTTTTCAGATTAGGGAAATTACAAAGTCAAATGTTTTTCTTAGGAAGCTACAGTGATAAGAAAAGGCCATGTGGCCACAAAATGTATTTTTCTCATATAGTAATTCCTAGTTACCCATGTTCTAGAAAAGCTGGTTCTCAGGATGAAGTGAAGCATCAGTGGTCTCCAGTCAATCACAAGGCAGTTACAAACGGCTCATTTTCTAATGCTTCTAAATACAGATTTAATGTCAGTTGCATTCTTATTCCACATGTGCAGTAGAGCATTACTTCATTTTTGTTGACTTTCTTCAAGAACATGTTGGGGATGTCCTCAAGTCTGACACTCTTTACTTCCCTAGTGGCAGCAGGTGAGATGCTAAGTGACTGGCAAACCTTTGTTTAACAAGATTGGGAGAGATATTCTAGTGAAAGCCACCAGAGGTGGAATTTGAACCCTGTGTGTCTATTTTGAGTTTGCATCTTAAAACTTATTATGATTTACTGACCTTTTTGTGTGAGTTGCGGACCATCCACTCCTCTGTGGTGCCCAGCTAGATGAAGATGTGGATGAGGTCAAACATTTCTTTTTCTTTTGTGGTCTTATTAAAGGTATCACACATCCTTGCCTTAGATTAGTATTGTTTTGTTTAGGTTAAACTTGAGGAAGTTTGGTTTCTCTTACCGTTTTAGGTAACACTTAAGCGTGAATAAGTCTCATTAAATATGTTGAAGCTTGATTCTGAGTAAATGTGAAAGTCTTGCAAAATTAGTGGTGCTTACTGTGAGAAAACTTGATAAACTTCCTGCTATATTGCTGTAATCAAACAGTTTCAAAAGAAGATACGAAACAACTCAACTTGCTGTACTTTCAGCTCCTGTGATTTGACCTATTTCACATTTAAAAAGATTGTTGTTATGCATTATGCATATACTTATGTGAGGTTACGTATTATCACAATAGATTGTCAAATCCAAATAGCTCTCCAGTGCTTTTGCACACAGAATTATATACAAATTCTCATATTTTCTCTCCTTCTATTGTAGATACATTGAATTGATAGCATTTTCTAAATGACAGTTTCTTGTCTCATCACACAATGTGTTTGTAGTGTCTGATCATGAGTTGACTTTCATAATAATCATTGTATTGAAAACAGTTTAA